ATCACTCAGGGTGCGGAAGACAACTCTGGCAGATTAGATCCTGGCCTTCACATGGCATGAGGTGAATATTAACTACAGCTTCATGTCACCCTTATGCAACAGTGTAAACAGGCACCATCATTCCTGGTTTAGAGATAGGAAGCCAAGTTAGAGCATACCAGTCAGTTAACTAAAGCCATATGGTAAGTCATGTGGGAGTACAGGAACTGCCCCACACAATGTTTTCAAGAAGCTGCTGCTCACAGATATGTCAGCTGGACAGACATGAACTGGTGAATAAATTGTGGAGAGAGGTAGGAACTGTCCCCTCCCCTCATCTTACAGTGCAGAAAGACCTAAACACTACCCATGATCAGGGTTCCCAGCAGCATCAAGAAGCAGATACATCTGCAAGGGCTGTTGGAGATGGTGGAAAGGGTCATCCAGAAGCTTAACACTGCCCTATCTCAGATCAGAAGAAAAAGTCAAGACTGACAGGCAGGAGAAGCAGGGACACTTTGACAGAGAGAGACAATGAGTGAAATAATAGAGGCTGGGTGGCAGAGAGTAGCTAAAAGGAATCAGCAGAGACCCTGTGCCTTCATGACTCTCACACAGTTGAAGGTCTGACAAGGACCTAGGCTGATACATGACATTCACAATGAGGAGGTGGCATTATTCCCTCTTTTGCTAGGGTACACCTAAATAATGAGGAGAAACAACCAGAGGTCTTGGATGGATCAAGTGGCAACAGGAAGAAGGCCAAGGGTTCACAGCTCTCTTGCGCACACTTTCAAGGACAGAGCGAAGATGACAGCAGAGCCAGGAAGAGGAGAGGCACTCAGCTGCATCATCACCTATAGATACCCATGTCCCACCCCATTTGCAGAGGGAAGGTGGTAGGAAGAAGGCTACCTTCGTGCTCCCTTCTCTTCATAGTAAGGGATCTCCCCACAGTTGATCAAGAGAGCATGGGTGCAAGGATGGAGATGTGACTAAGGGACTTCTTATAGAAGTGGCCTGTTTGTGCACTGCCTCCATTTTTACAGAGGTGCTGTGCCCAGCCTCAGACCAGCTCAGGCTGGGTTAGCCCTGGTCGGTGCTTTTAAGGATTGTCTTTCCTTTTTCATGTCCCACTAGAGGCAGCTAAAGCCAGCCCTGCGCCGCAGGGTATGCTAAGCAGGTGACTAAAAAGCCTAGAGTCCATCCCCTAAATCACTGTTCAAAGCAGAGAAGCCATCCAGACATGCCTGTCACTAGGCTCTATGCAAGGAAGAGCAGCCAAGAGATACGTGACTGACATGGTTTAATGGGGGATTAGGGATGGTTGGACTGGATGATCTCTAAGGTCTTTTCCAACCTAGAAATTCTATGATTCTATGATTACCAGCAGTGCTGTTAGTGAAGGAGAGGAGGCACGGTAATAGGAGCCTCTGGCATCAGGAAAATTTTACATTTGGAGGCAAATAAACATAAAAATAAGAGAGAAAGGAGGAGAAAGCTGGTAATTTCACAGAGACAGGCAGGGAGTAGTGTGCATCTTTCATTATTGAAATCCTATCTGACTCTTACCATCTCCTCCCAGCCTCTCTCCATAGCACAGAGACAAAGAAATGAGGCTGGGACTCCAGGAACCTGAACGTTCTTGGGCTGAACAATCTCCTCCAAACCCCACAAAGCTAACAAGAGGTCGAGCACACTGGATGCTGCATCTAGCTCCAGGCAAGCAGTGGGAGGACAGGCTGCTGATTGCTTTTGCTTCTTGCTCAAAGCTTCACAGAATTTCTCGCTTGCAGCCATTCCTCCAGCATCTGAGGGAGGGGAAGTTTGTTTCTTTTCTAAGCTTGCCGCAGGTAATACAAACACAGTGTGCTTCCCTGCATCCAGGATCCAGATCCTTGTTAGATGCAAATCCCCACAATTATAAGTCTGCACACAGCACCAGTTGTGGTAGCATTAGATTAATCCAGCCTCCAGTGCTTTGCAGTCCTCTGCCCACAAGTCCCATGGGCATCGAGAGCCACGTCGCTAAGTAGCTGTTTTGTTTCGCACAAAGAAAAACAGCTTCCGCAGCTGAAGCAATCTTTAAGCCTATTTTACTTGCAGAAATTAGGGAATAATAGATGACCCATTTCCCTGAATATAAAGCTGGCATTTTCTCAGCTACTGCATAAGTATCGTAAGTGTCTGAAGGCTTGGTGTCGTGTGTATTGCGCTTCCCCCTCTGCCCTCCCCCCAGGGCCAAGAGAAATAAAGCTTAGCAGAGCTCAAAAAAGATACCAAGTGTCAGATAATCCAGAGTAAAGCATCCACCCACATCTCCCTGTCGCTTTTCTAACAGCAGATACATTTTCCATCTAAAGCAATAGAGGAGAAGGACTGGGCAGCTATTCTGTGCCCTGCCCCAGAGATGATATTTAGCTGCACCTCTTGGAGCTGCACGGAAACACCAGGGAGCGAGGAGGAGAGCTGCCAGGGTTCACAGCACGCGTGGGGCGTCAGATCTCATGCTTCAGCACTTACCAGAGAGCTGAGGGCCTGGCTGCAGTATCAGGGGCTATGTCCACCAGGACGAGGCTTCTACAGACACATCCCTACAAGAGGCATTTCTACAGACAGGAGAACAGCTCAAACACAGGAGGAGCCCACAGTGCTGAGACAGGAGGCCCAGAGTCACCCTGGCAGGTACAGCAATGAGGGCAAAAGGAAGCAGCAAAAACACAGGAAAGGAAAGAAAAACAAGCCAGCAAAGGAGGGAGGGAGGGCTCTGGCACAGGACAGGAGGCAGAAGAGTTTAAGCACATTTAGCCAGGAGCAGTCCAGTCTGGAGAATCAATTACGGGAAGATAATTTGTCTGCTTGATTAAAGCCTCCTTGGGGTATTGGCTTGTTGCTGGGGAGAGCAGCAGAAGGTACCTGCTCTGGTCAGAGCATGATCCATGACTTATTACTGCAGTCCCTGCATAGCAGCCAGCAGGAGGGGAGGCTTAGCAGGCAGAGACAGACAGGCACGTTGCTTTTGTCCTTCGGACGTTTCCCCTCACTTCTCGCTGCGTCAGAGCTAAGTCACCCAAAAGGGGACCCCGAGCTTGCCCCCGTTAAGAAAGCTGCTGTTGCAGCAGGAAAAACGGCACCTGAACGTGGAGGCCCGGCAGAGGGAGCGGTGCTGGCTCAGACGTGCCCTCCAGTGGTCCCCACTCCAGCCTGGTTCCCGTCCCCATACCGAACTGGGAGCACTAAAGCTTGTGCATTGTAGGTTTACACTAGGAAGGTCAAAGGAGGCTTTGCACAGACTCGGACAAGGCTTGGGGCTGCACGCAGGGGATGCCCCTGTGTTTATGTCTCTTTTTTGTGTCCACCACCCCCAAGATCTGCCATGGGTTGACAGCACCAGGGAGGACAATTTCCAGGAGCCGCAGGCTACGTTTGCAACAAATGGGCACTGAAGTAATTACAGGCTTCTTTCTGTGCTTATTTATCCCGTATTCCCCCACACCCCCAAAGTCTTACTCTAAACCAACACAGGCCAGAGAATGCTTATCTCATCTCTTGTACCAGCCCCTATGGGATGTAGGGGACTATTTCCCCTATGCAGTCAGGTTTACACTCAAGATTAATTTCTCTGAAATTTTCAGGGTGCCATGAACTGCATGTGTAAAGCAAAGCTACAGAGGCAGCATCACATCCTCTCCACAACTGCAGAAGGGCCTGGCAACACTAAGGCTTGTAGGGACGTTCTCACCTGCCACGGGAGCTCCTGCGGTGCTGCAGCCTCCTCCAAGGCAATTGCATGTCCCCATGTACCCATTGCTCTCAGGGACTGGCTACGCCACAGGTGTGCAGGACACTATAGAGAGCCAGATAGGAAGAGTGGGGACCTTCAAATTGGTGGTTAATTCTTAACCCACCCTGCTCCTCCCAAGCTCAATGAGGCACTTACAGACCCACTGAGCATGTGATTAATGACACTAGTGGGGATCCTACTAGGGCTCCCATATCCTTAAAGCTAGATGTATCTGAAAGGACATCAAGACTAATACTATTTACACTAAGGGATTAGGTTCTCCTGTGTTACACCGACACATATTTCTACTCAATCTTGCAACATATCCCCACCAGTTCCTACAGCCCCACAGCTCCCACTTCTCACAGCACTCTCACAAACCCACGGTCCATCATAAAACTCCACATCCCACTCCCTTTGCATACCCAACAGCTCCACAACACAGCTCTGCCTGCTGTGCAGCTTGCCTACCTCTTCCTCGCTCCACTTGCCGGGTAGGCAGTGAAAAAAATGGCTGAGACTATCTCTAGATTTCTTTTAGTACCCTTAGGCCCTCCCTACTTCCTCACAGCTGCAGCAGATCCCAAATGATCTGCTGACCACAGAGACCCAAATAGGCAGCCACTGGTGCTGCTTACCGACTCAGTGCTGCTTGGGAAGGCTTTTAAAGGGACATGCAGTAAATCCACTCCTGGAGTGCAGTTTGCCTATAGATTGATTTCCTGATAAAACATCCATTTCTCAGCCTTTTAACACTGCCGTCCTCTGCAGCAGCCCTGCAGCACAGCCTGTTTGCAACAGACCTTGGAGTTCACCTGGAGAGGTGGCACACAAACAGCCCCCACAGTGCAAACCAGTGTGCTTGGAAAGTTTGCTTGCCTTGGTTATTTTTGCTTTCCGTGCATGAGTGTCTGTACATGCACATACAGACAGACCCTTTGAAATGTGCTAGAGGAAGACACTTCAGCATCCTATGTTTAGCCAGTTCTGGCAAAGTTTATGTGTAAAAGTGCTGAGAATATATGGAAAAGGGAAAGCCTCAGGACACAGTCTGCCCAGAGGCAGGGTGCAAACATTGTTCTTGTTTCCCAGATGAGCTCCATTAACCCTTTGCTTTACGTCCTAGCCCATGTTCTTCAGGAGTTCTCCCCTCTCCCAAGTGATCTGTCACTTGGGTGAGAGATAGATGCAAGTGGTCCCCTTAATGACATCTCTCTCTCCCCCTTTCCATCATTAGCCTGAAGACCAGCCTGCAGAAGAAGGTGAGCCAGGACTCCATGGATTTGTCAGGGATCCCCTTGACCATGCGGGATGTCCACCGCATGGCCTACTACCTGCAGAACAACGGGGACCACCTCACCTCTGTGGACCTGAGCTTCACCGAGCTGAATGACGACATGGTGCGCCTGCTGCTGCCCTTCCTCTGGGCACTACCCAAGCTGACTCACCTTTCCCTCAACGGCAACCGACTGACGCGGGCGACCATGAAGGAGCTGACTGACACCATGAAGGACATGAACAAGTTCCCTTGCCTGGCCTGGGTTGACCTCGGCAACAATGTGGATGTCTCCTCCATGCCGCAGCCGTTGCTCGTGGGCCTGCGCAAGCGCCTCAGCCAGCAGACCACGCTGCCTACCATCTATGAGGCGCTTGACTGCGACTCGGAGATCTCCAGCGGGCATGAGGGCAGCCAGCCAGAGGACAAAGCAGCAGGAAGCACCCCGCCACGTGCTTTCTCTCAGCAGGGCTGCGAGAGGTGACTGGACAACAGGCTGGCACTGGCACACTGAAGCCACCCCAAGGAGAAGTCTTGAGTACAAACATCAAGCAGAGGGCCAGCTTTACCGGCTTCTTTTGGCTCTTTTCTCTCGCCTTCCCTGACATCTCCCCCCCGACTTGCTGTGAAACAAAAGCCTGTCGTCCCCCCACAACGTGCTCCACTCCCTCCCCTCACTGCCAAACCCATCGCCCACATTCCAGAGAGGAACCAGTAGACTTACAGTGAACCTGGTCCCCAGGCAGGGTCTCACTGGAAGACGGGAAAAGACCTGTCGGAATCAAGAATATCCTCCAGCAGCCATTGGGTTGAGGGAAAGGGATGGGGGGGAACCTAAAACAGAAACAGGCTTGTAGTTTTCTTCCTTTTCCTATGCACCTTGGAAACTTTGGGACCTGCAGCCTTGAGTGTGAAAGGAGGTACCCCAAGAGCCTAGCTGCTGTGGAGCTTAGCTGAAGGGCTCAGAGGCCAGAGCTGGAGCCCAGCAGTGTGTCTCCCTCTTGTGTCTGGCTCCTTTTGTTTTGTTTTTTTCCTATTGTGTGTTTTGTATTAATGTCTGAACAAAGGGACTTGGTCAGAGACCATTGGATTGCATAGGCTGGGGCGGACACATGGCTTGGAACTGCAGCATCAGGATATTTGCTGTGTGACCGGGGTGAGAGGGAGGGGAAGGAGGTATGTGTTGGTGGGAGCATGGGGGATGGGATGAGTTGGGATGGGATGGGAGGAGAGGGGTGGAAAGGGAGGGGGAACAGTCTTGTGGATTAGCAGGAGTGGTTTCAAAAACTGTGCTTTTGTACTAAAATTACAAGTTCCAAGTGAAATTGAGGAAAAGCAGATGGCTAAGTGCATAACTGTGGCACTAGAGGAGCAAGCAGTGAACGTGCCAGAGGTGGGCACTTCCCAAACTAAAGTGCAAAGCTTTGGCTCCTCATGACATAGTGCATACCTCGTCATACAGACATGACATGAGCAGCTGCATCACCATTTCCAATGCTGTCCAAAAACCAAAGCACTGATGCAATATTTCTAGTGTTTTTCATATTGCTCATGCTCTATGTAAACATAATAAACGGTTCTCTTGGACATGAGCGTGAAGCACTACGGAGTCTGAGTATCGGGGTTGTTCACAAATCAAGCCAGCAGCCCAGACACTGCAAGAATATGGGCCAGGAGTCCTCATACAGTACCTGAGCAGTGTGGGAGAGGATCAGCAGGTACCATTCACACTGGTGAGAGTGGTTCATTCCTCTAAGGAAAGTGAAACACGGATGTTCATTTGTGTTAGGCTGCTGCCCTTCACATTGCAAGGTGCTGATACAAATAAACTGATCAGATTTTAGCTGGTAAGTCAAGTCCTCCCAGTTTTGAAAAGAGTTGAAAGTTAAAGAAATCAGACATATTAAGAAACCCATATAAATCCTAGCCCTCCTAAATTAACAATGAATGGTAACTTTTCCTTCCTCTGCTGATTCTCTCTAGGAGTCTCAACATATAAGCAACTCTCGTACACTAAGCCACACAAATCCACATGAAACAGGTACGCCTTTCATGCTCCTTGCTGATTTTACCAGACATTGCAAGAAGCAAATTGGTGATATTTATCAAATTATCTATCCCCTTTGGACCAAGAGTGTGAGGGGCACTGGAAGGTATTGGTGTCTCTGATCAACTGCCAAAAACCCCAAATAAATCCAGTCCCCTGAGGAAGAAAGCTGGGTTTAGAGACACTGTGCTGAGTATTACGACCTGACACTGCAAACGCTGGACCCAGTCCTGCTCACACTCTGGTCTCTGGAGCAGGACCTCGTAACCTTCCTGTTGTTAACTTGCAAACAAGTGATGTAAAGTCTCTGTCCTGCGGACCAAAAAGAGCAGAAGATACAACAAGGTAAAGCAAATATAGCTAGGGCCAGGTGCTAGCTGCCCCATCCCAGTGGAGGTGGAAGAGAAAAGGCCCTGAAATAGAACATGATGTTCGGCCAGGAAGATGGGGAACAGGGAGCGTAAATGCAGCCAGGCCCCAGTGCAGCCCAAGGTGGGAAGGGAGCACATGCTTCCCTGCACAGTTGTCACCTAAACCCACCTTTTAGCCCTTCTGGCCAATCTGGAGAAACGGAATAATTTCTATGACAAAGACTGTGTTTGGGGAGCATGAGATTGTTTTGCAAAAGTTAAAACAGAGCTGCTCAAGTGGCCATTCCCATTACTGGGGGAAGGGCTGTGCTGCTTCCAGAGGTCAACACCTGCCTCTCTTCTTGCCACTCATTTTTTCCTACTCTGTGTGGTACCTGTTTCCTCCCCTGCTGTGGAAGAGATGGTATTAATTTTTTCTCCTTTCCTTCCAAAATACCTTTCAGCAAAAATGAAAAGCACTTCAAATGTCAGCAAGATCTGCTTAAAATCTTACAGTCTAAGCAGAGCAGCACGCTGTGCCAAGAAGAAAACTCGGGCATGAAGCATTTAAATGAAGGCTTGGAGCTGCCTGGTGAGTAAATCAGTGGCATGTCTAGAAAGAGGGAGCAGGGGTGCTGCGCATTTGGTCTCTGACTCTGAGCACTGTCTCTGTAAAGCTCTGCATCAAAGCGTCTTCACAGCTTTTCCGTAACAGTGGCAACCCCTGACATGAGGCAAGACCCCCAGTGTGCATCCCACTGCTGATGCAGCTCTTCCCTGCAGAGTCCCTGGCCCAGCCCCAGGGAGAATCTGTGCAACCTGTTTCCAGCCCTGCTCAAAGTAGTGGTTTTGGTCTGAGCTGTGCTAATCACGAGGATGGAGATGAGACATTTAGCCCCTTGCAAGGGAATTCTGTGCTAATCACTGGCAATGCCTGGCTGCCAGTTGGCAGCTCCAGGAGCTGGAGAGAAAGCGTGGCTTGAAACAGACTGGTTCAGCTGAGCAGCTGTGGGATCTGTTTATTCCTCCATACGCACTTGGTTGCTTTGCCATAGAAACCTCCCCATGGAGAACTGTTGTGAATAAATACATGCAAATGCAAATTATGAGGTCCTGGCCTAGGAAACTGCTGCTGCTTCTTGGATGAACTCCGATGGGCTGCAACTTAGCTGTGGAGAAACCATCACAGCACACCCAGCTGTTCCCTGCCAGCTTCTGCCTGCACTGACTGGTGAGGGACTCTGCGGGAGCACAGCGATGTGCATCCAGCTCCAGAGCTGAGAAGCGCCTCGGTGTTCCACTACAGAGGAGATGTGTGCTCAAGGAGCAGGCCTGGCAGCCCCAAATCCAGAGGGAGCTATTTTCATTAAAAGCTGATTTCAAAGCCAGAGAGAATGACACAATCCAATCGAGCCTTTCCTTGCACTGAATGAGAAAGCTCAGGGCTGTTGAAGGGAATTAAAGGGATGAGCTGCTAATTCAGGTCTCCTCAGATACCCAGAGGGACCAGCTTTGTTATGCTTCTAGATCAGGGGATGCCTGCCCTGCCGTGAGCCTCTGTCTCCTGCGAGGTCACACAGCAGGAGAGATGGATCCCTGTCATACCAAATACTGTCCTCAGAACCATACTTGCTGGTGCAGGGCTGTAACCTCAGCTACTTAAAGCAGCACACACACCTCAGTATCAAGACTCATACCCCAGGCTATCTCCATCATTTGCAGTTGCCCTCCCTCCCTTCCTCTCTCTCTGCAGGATGCAGAAGGTCAGCCTGTGATGGCACCTATGTCATGTAGCAGAGAGGAAGATGCAGCTGCACAGGATAGTATCACAGCCTCTTCCTCACCCCTGACCTCCTACCAGGTGATCAGTCCCACAATAGATCTCAAAGTGAGATGTTTAGGCACGCTTTTCAAAAGTGGTCTTCTGGATGGAGATATCATAGGGTGCAAAGCCATGCCATACCTCCCCACCGTCTTATTTTTCCCAGGCTTTATAAAATATCCCCCAGAAAACCCTCCTCCTCTTGGGGTTGCTTGTTCCCTTTTCAGATCTACAATCACATCGTGGCAGGGCACGAGACAGTGAGCTCCCACCTCCACCAACCTGTGCCAACAGCAGCTTTCTACCAGCTGCCCTCCTGGCAGACACTCTCCTGCCTGGCACAGCACACCCTCTTGCACGCTCCCAGGGGCACCTGCAGCACCTCACTGGAACACACTGGTGAGCCCTGTCAGCTGGGGCTCTGCCTGGGATCAGGCAGGCAGCAGAGAGACCCCAGCCACAGGAAGGTGAACACATGGGATGCTGAGCAGCACCACGGGTAGTGAAGCCATCGGTGCCAAACAGCAGAGGGAAAATGGAACAGGTGAGACCTTTTCAGTTACTCAAACAGAAATGCACTTGTTCCCTCTCTGCCTAACTGCCTCCACCATCCTCACTCCTCCACCCTTTATTTTACCTCAGCCTCTGACCACAAAACACAGGGTAACCATCTTAGCGTGCTCCAGGTAGCAAGACGCTTAGCACAGAGGCCACCACAAGCCTCCCTCATTCCTGTGACTCTGTCTAAATAACAGGTAATCATTTTGTTGCGGTAAGGATGCAAAAAGCAGCTAGAAGCACAGGCTTGTCTGATCTATTTTTGTTTCAAATGCTTCAAAATCTGTCAAGACCCTTCTTTTCTGCACTGCCAAGGCTCTTTTTTCAACTTATAACTCATTCCTCATCACAAGCACTTGGAAGATAGAGGAGTTTGCACTGTTTGGGGCAGGCTGGCAGGCTCCTTAGCAGACAGCTGCTGACAAAGATGCCAAAATAGAAATTGTTTCATCTTACGAAAGCAAAGAGGATTAAACATTTGTGTTTAGAGACCACTCTGTCCACCACCAGATCATGTTTGTTTCACAGCTCAGAAGGCGCAATGGTGTGTCTCACTACAGCTCTTATCACTGCAGTATCTCGACAGCGCAGCAGGTGTAACAGCCCTCAAGGGCAGCTTGTGGAACACCCAGCCACCCCAGCTCCCAGCAGTTGGGGACCATCAACAGACAAGAGAATCTGTTTTGCAGTTTACTGGCATTTAGCAAGTGCTCTTGAAATAGATGCAATAGCTGGTTTAAGGCTGCCAAGAGGCAGTTCGCAAAACAAAATAGACCGGAACGCTCTTAGCTGAGGCCAGCACTCCAGGAAGCCATGACCGCATCTTGATCTACTTTGA